CTGTGGAACAAGATCCACTAGCACGATGCACGGCTCGCGAAGTACGGCTCACTTTCTAGGCTGCTGAATAATAATGGGACGCGAACAATGCGCTGGTCGTGCGTCATGAGTCGGTATGGGTTTCTCATGGAAGTGTTGCACAGCTTCTGGTGGAAAATCTGCATTTCCTTTGGCCGGAGCGCCACTGATCATTATTGTCTTTGGCGGACTGCAAATATTAGAAATTTTCTTATTTTCTATATACGACTGAAGATAAGATAAGATAAGATGAATTGTAAATACTTTACGTTGCTTTTTACAATATTTTAACATTAGAACTGCCAATAATATTCCGCTAAAATCGTCAAAGATACCAATTTGATAATTTCTTATTTTTATTTTCGGTAAAGAATTATTTTAATATTATTTGTATTATAGTCATACATTTACATATAATATTTTGTACTATATATATCTAATATAAAAAAGAAAAAAAATTAAAATAATTAACGGAGTTATTGGCAATTCTAGTATTTTAAAATTGATATCTAGAAGGTACACTCAAAAACATTAATTAAAAATGATTCTAGAATAGCGACATATTTTTGCAATATATATTTATATTTGGAGAAAAAGTTATTGTTTTATCTTTTCAAAGTGTCTGTTTATTGCAAACAACAGATGTAATGATATAGTGCAAGATATAAACTGTGACAATTTTATATCAGATGAATAAAGATATATTCACGCTGAGTTAAGCAAACATTTCGAATATAATGTATCGATTATAAACGACAATTAATATCAATGAATTTTTTTTTAAATATGTTACATATTTTTTAATGTAAAAAAAATGCAAGATATTATGTATATATATTATTATTTATCATAATAAATTTAGAGGAATTTTTTTGAGATTTTCTACACGTCATAGTTAATCGTCATAATTAATCGTCAAATTATATTTAAATCGTTTATTTTCATTTGGCGCTTCGCATAAATATAGTAACTCTCTCCGTATAAATGTTTTTCAGATGTAACTCACGTTTATTTTCGATTGCACAACATTGTGTTATGTAAATGTGGAACACCAATAATCACACTTATTATCAGAATTGTCGCGCAGAAATGGATTAAACAACATAATCACAATTTTTTGTCTTGCAATTCTTTCATTCGTACCTAAGAATATAAAAAAAAGAATAGATGATGGATGTGCCATATGTTTGATATACTTTGAGCTGAATAATACGTGGGAAGAATCGGTTTCGTAATGGCGGAGATTCAGAGGAATAATTATACAAGTTATTAAAAATATGAGCAATAGCAATGTATAGTTACAAAGAATTTATAGAAAATGCAATAAAAATTACAGTTATAAAAGAAATATGTGTCATTTATCAGCAACTGTTTCATTGATTGATAGCAATATCTAAGAAATTGATCTAAATGTAAAGATTGATACTATTGTATTGGAAAGAAAATGTCATTATTTATTAAATGTCAGTCTTTAGCTTAAAATTATATATTCGTTAAAAATGAATAAAATTTAAAATCTCTACTTTCGAAAAGTCGTTATATTGTTTGAGTTTCTATGAGTTCGGTAATTTTTACATATAATAGAAAACTATGAGCTAAACAAAATGAGAAATTTTTTTCTCACTTTATGGATCACAACAAAAAATTTGTGAAAATTTTAAATTATCTGACGTGAAAGCTTAAAATTTTCTTACAAAATTGTTTTTCAAAAATGTTCCTAAGATTTTTTGTTACTGAGTGACTTACGGATTAAATAAAAGAAGCATTCTGATTACTCACAATTCCGTTCGTCAAAAGTCATTCGTTGCGTATCAATATACAATTTTAAAAAATTCCAAAACTGCTTTATTGAACGGTTTTTGTCAATGTTTTAAAAATAGAATATATATAAATTTGAACTAAAAATATGGCATTTCTTTTAACTATTGAGCAATGATCTATGTGTAAAAATTACAAAGAAACTAAAAAAATATAGTAAGCTTTCAAAAATAGAAATTTTAAGTTTTAAATCCCCTTTTTGACATTCAAATTTCTCATTCTTAACATATTTTGTTTATAATTTTGATCTAAAAATTACTTTCCTTCCAACCACTATTAACAGTATATTAATATTTTCACTGTCTTTTAAGTAACAGATAATAAAATTTAATAATTTAATAAATAAAATAAACATCTATTTTTAGAATATTAATTAAATTATATAGATCATGTAATGATCTTAACAAGAATAATCATAACAAGAATATATTTTTTAATGATTGACAGAAATCATATGAGAGCTTAAAGTTTTATATTACTAATTTTTTTTTATTTTTTTAAGAATTCCAAATTAAGTTCAAAAATAAGCTTGTAAAACATAATTATTCCAAATTATTACACTATTTAAAAATTAAAAAAACGTCAGGATAACTAGGACTCATATGTTTCAGTTACGAATTAAATATATATCATTTGAAGAAATCAATCTGTAAATTCTTAAATGTTAAATTTTTCATTCCCTCCATTTGCCTTCTTCAAAACCGATTCTGTGCAGCGAGCTATTGTAATTATCAAATCAGTGTTGAAGTACAACTGTTTTAGCATGTCATCGCGACAAACACGGTACACGAAGATGTGATCTATTTCACCTGCTGGACGGCCTGCTCTCCTCGACGTCTTTGCTAGGCTTCGTCTCGCGCTCATCCTTCGGTGTCTTGTGCTGCGTTATCCTCATACCGCCCGCCTTTACTGAAAAAAAGAGACAAAAATCGTGTGAGAGATGCGCGACCCGGCATTAAGAGAACGAACTTCAGCGAAAGGCCGACCTTGGAAATCTGATCGCGATCGACAGGTGGCACGTCGCGGCTATGAGCCACGAACGCAAACTCTAACCCGTCTTCCCGCGTAGTTTTCGCAGGGCGAACGAGGGACGAAAAGGAAAATCACTAACCTGCCGGGGGATGACCGCCCTTCAGCTTGCACTCGTCTCCGCTGCTTGACATACCGTTGTCTTCGCGTCAATTAGAGTCTCGACTGAATTCCCGTCACAATATGCTACCAATTGCTGACACAACGCAATACACACTGATTCTCTCTCTCTCTCTTCCTCGCCACTCCGGTAGTGAATTAGCGATAGCATTCAACTCCAACAGCTCCAACTCTCGAGTTCTGACGCGACGCCTTCGTGTGCGTCGCACTATCGAGTACCGATGTGAAAAGATACGAGAAGAAAGGGGGGAAAGGTTGCCACACACAAGTCGCTTATATTTCTCTCGCGATGCCTTGCTTGAATATACGTTACACACGACGGCGGACATATGCACGACAAAATGATCTACGTATTAATATAAAAGATAATATTATATAAACAGAAATTAATATAAATTCTATATCTATACTTAAATTTTCTCATTTTTATGTAAATTTAAATTTGCAATATGTATTATTAAAATTAAAAGATAATATTTTTTCAAAGTAATAAATATAAAAAAATATAAAAAGTAATAAATATAAATATTTATGAAATATTCTTTACATTTTTATATAATAATATACCTAATAGCAAATAGTAATAATCTATCTGATAATAATAATTATTAAATGATTTTTTAAAATTATTCTTTTAATGTCCAATTGTGAAACTTTGAATACTTAATTTCAATTCAAAATTGAAAGTCAATTAATATTGTTTTATATTCAATATACCAGTTAACGGACATGATTATTATTGACCTAATTATTGAATGAAATGGCAAAAATTTTAAATATTAAGTTTTCGATTAAATGTAAAACTGAATAAATTCATTGTAAAATAAAAATTTAATAAGACAAATTAATTTAGAATTGCATACAAATTAAAAGCTTAATATTTAAAATTTCTGTTGTTTTGCTCAATAATTGGGTAATGTCAATTACTAATTGACATATTTACTTTATTATATGATTGTCATGATTGTGTAAACAAACAGATATTACAATAGTATGTATATTTAATAAAATTGTGCAATAGTAATGGAAGCGTTAAACTTATATGATGATTTATTATAAATTACACAAATAGAAATCATTTCGTTTTATTGCATAAACGATTAATGCCTGCATACACAAATGTATATTTAATAATTAAATCTAGGAAGTGCTTGTTGAAGGTTCTGCTGGTTTATCAGCATGGTATGCATAATGCAAATCCTTGGAATCTTGATCCGAGATGTGCACCCAGCCAGTTGATTTCATGTGATATACTGTAAAGTAAATTTATGTATTAAAACATTGGAATATTGTAAAATTATACTAAGTCACGTCTTTACTATATATGATTATTTTATACCAACCTCTTATGATACCGCCAGAATAGGCATCTCTATGTGTGGCATGATAGATCGCTCTTCTTCCAAGTTCATAAGCCTGTTCATCTGTTAAATCCCACCGGTAACCAGAATCCAAAACACCAAATGCAAACACAGATCCAGACCCGACGCTGAAAACCTTCCCTGGAGTACGAGTGCCCTCAGAATCAACATAGTAAAGTCCAGGGCCACGCTTGTCCCATCCAGCCAGCATCATACCTACAAGATTACACATATAAAGATCTTCTCACATTCTATAATATCTAATCTTTTACAGAATCAGAAAAATATCTTACCAATACTCAATCCCATTCCTTTGAAATTATAAATCATGTTCGACAAGAGTTTACTTGCTGCTGCAATAGAGATGCGTTCTCTGTTCCTAAGTTCGTACATGCGGCATTGCCTTGCTAACACTCGATCCCAGTAGACGCAATCGGCAGCACCACCAGCCAGAGTACCAAGAAGATAATCATTGATCTCTACTATCTTCTTCATAGTAGATGAGCCTGAAGATCAAGAGTAGATTGATTTTTGTTATAAATGTATATAATTTATCAGTTGAGATATGCAACAGACTTTACCAATAAACTGTCCTCCAGTCGCACGTGAATCCACTGCTAGAACGATACCACCCTGATATTGGAAACCCAAAGTTGTGGTTCCATGGTCGAATTTGATTTTCAGACTCTTTCCACTTTCATCAGTGCCTTGAACTATTTGGCCAAGAGTTTCAGCTGGCTGTAATGTAAAAAAAATAATTTAAAAGACAAGTCATTTTACTTTCCAAAACAAAATGTCATTTTGAAATTTTAACATGAAAGCATTCAAGTATATAAAATATAATTCTGGAAAGTTTTATTTGCTGTTAATTTGAAGAATGACTTTGTCCTAATTATACATAAAAATAACCTAAAAATAATTGATTGTATACTGAAAGAGAATCGTCAAAGAAATTCAAAAAATTTAATTATTATCGATATCAGTATCGTTATTAATAATTGCTGCGATGGGATAACAATTGTCCATGTTAATTTGACAAATTTAAAGTGTAATTTCCGTGTCACGAAATATGTGTGATTTGCATGATACTGCAAATTTGGCTCATGATCGTCGTTGCATGCTTACGTTTACGAACGGCGGCATTGCCAAGTGAAGGTTGTTGGTGAAATTTCTAGTATATGTCTTGACTTCATTGACGACCTTATCATTTTCTCGCGAATAGCCAAAATCAATAGAAGACTTGATACCACAAACATCGGCGAGTGCCATTTTTACCCAAATGTTGACCATCGACTGCTTGACTGCTTGTCATCCATTCGCTCAATTCTGCCTGCTTCTAATAGAGAGCGCTTACATCAACGCGCTCGTGAATCAAGTGGAAATTGAATTTTTTATCAAAAATCGCAGTTAAAATGCTGGTTCTTTCCAAACAGGTCTTTTTACGATCGAGTTATATGAATTTGCTAAGACCATATTTAAGAATGTTAACAATATAGATGTTTGTCTTTGTACTTAAAACTGTTAGAAAATTTATTTGTATTTATTTTTATTTTTTTATAAATAATAATTATAAATCAAACACACACACAATTACTTTTTACGGAATAAATGATTACAGCGGGATGATAAAAGATGCAATAGAATCAGCCATGCAAATTCTAAAAAAAATTACTTGCGAATTTTTACAAGAAATCTTTAAAAGAAGGTAGAAAGGAAGATAAAAATTTTCGAAGATTTCTACATTTATCTATTCAATCAAATCATGACATTAAATATTTTTATGTATTTTTATAATTTGGTGGTATTATATGTATATAA